TATCATAAGAAAGATTTAAAAGCACTCAGCTTTCAAATCAGCCCATTACAAAAGGTAGTAAATAGGCATCACTGGCATTTTAACCTCTTAAAAATATAAATGTTAAGAAGAGGTCAACTTAGCAGACTCACAGAGATGTATCCCTAATCCAACATCCCTAATCCAAAAACCCAAAATATAAAATACCCCCAAATCTGAGAGTTTTGTGAGCACTGATGTGACATCCCCAAGTGAAAAATTCCAAGCCTGACCTCGTATGATGGGTGGCAACTAAAACATAGATGCAATATTGTATAAAATTACCTTTGGGCTATGCATTGTGTTGTAGTGGGTAAAACCACCATCTGCAATGCCAGCATCCCATACGGGTGCCGGTTTGAGTCCCAGCTGCTCCCCCATCTGATCCAGCTCCCTGCTAATGGCCTGGGAATGCAGTGGAAGATGGCCCAAGTGCTTGGGCCCCTATGACCCATGTAGGAGACCTGGATGAAGCTTCTGGTTCCTGGCTTCTGCCTGGCCCAGCTTCAGCTGTCGTAGCCATCTGGGGAGTGAACCAGCAGATGACAGAAGGCTCTCTGTTCCTCTGTCTCTGTCCTGTCTCTGTCTCTCTCTGTAACTCTGCCTTTCAAATAAACAAACCTTTAAAAGAAGATGTATATAAAACATAAAAATTTCATGTTTAGATATCTCATTATGTATATACAAATATTCTAAAATTTAAAAAAAAGACTTCAAAAACCATGTGGTCCTAAGCATAATACTCAGCCTGCTTCCTTATAACTAACACAGATAGGTAGGTAAATAAAAAGTCCAAAGTACTTTTCTCCATAGGTTCCCGGGAGATAAAATGAAAGGATTGAACTGGTGTGAGCTAACTGAAGGGTTATGGTTCTATTGTGATTAAAAGAAAAGAATTTTACCTCATGCCCATCACCACTAGGAATCAGGGTTCAAGTCGAGCAGGTGATGGTTATGGAAAGCTTTCTGGTTGTCAAGGTGATGTAGCATCCCCAGCGGCGGCCTCATCGGAGTGGACCTTGGCCATGTGCTGACGGTCAAGTACCCACGACTGAGCTTTGCTCTTTCACTGTCTACGAGGATGTTTCCACGGAATGGACCTTTGATGGATGGGGTGGACTGAGTTGCCAGGAAGGTGGTTTTGGAAGGTTTAGGAGTGTATGGCCTGTCTGCTGATGCCAGTTCTTCTGTGACGATGAACTCTGGGGGCTTCCCTTGGAGGCCTCATCAGTGTGCCAGGTGGGGCGGGGCGGGGAGATGAGAGGGAGAGGAGAAGGAGATTGTCTTTTGCAAAAGTAATTGCTCATTTTTATTTTTATTTTTTTAACTTTTATTTAATGAATATAAATTTCCAAAGTACAGCTTATGGATTACAATGGCTTCCCCCCCTCCATAACTTCCCTCCCACCCGCAACCCTCCCCTTTCCCTTCCCCTCCCCCCTTCCATTCACATCAAGATTCATTAATTTGCTCATTTTTAATAAGAGCTTATGTATATTTATTTGGAAGACACAGCAGGAGAGAGAGATGGGGCTAGCATTGTGGTGCAATGTCAAGTCCCTGCTGCTTCACTTCTGATCCAGCTTCTTGCTAATGCACTTGGGAAGGCAATGGAAGATGGTTCAAGTACATGGGCTCTTGCCACACATATGGGAGACCCAGATGGAGTTCTGGGCTCCTGGCTTCAGCCTGGCCCAGCACTGGCCATTGCAGCAATTTGGAGGGTGAATCAGCAGATAGAAGACCTCTCTCTCTCTCTCTCTCTCTCTCTCTCTCACACACACACACACACACACACACTTCTTTTCAAATAAATAAAAGTTTTTTAAAAAAGGAAGAGAGAGAGCTGATTTACTCAACAAATGCCCACATTGCTAGGGCATGGCCAGGCCAAATCCCAGAGCCCAGAACTTCGTCAGGGTCTCCTAAGTGGGTGTGGAGACTCATGTACTTGAGACATCTCCTGCTGCCTTCCAGGATGTACTTTAGTAGGAAGTTGGAATGGGAAGCACACACAGGACTCATGCTCTGGCACTGTGATATGGAATGTGGGCATCCCAGTTGGAGTCTTAACTTGCAGTGCCACAATGCCCACCTATGGAACTTCTGATTTTTGGAGGGAAATGAGGCCCTCACTCAAGAGGTAGCACCAATAACACAGAAGGATGGGAGCTCATGTGTGCTACAGGAGGCCCAAGGAACGGGCCATGTGGAGAGGCAGAAGTCCAGGAGGGCTCTCAGGAGAAGCAGCAGCTTCAGCTGTGTGCTGGAAGAGAGACAAAGTTTCCCTAGGGTTGGGGCTGAGCTTCTGCCAAGAGAATCCACTGGGGGGAAAACCAGGAGCAAGAATGGGTGAACAATGCTACATTTTGTGGAGAGGTGATGAAACCCTTGCCCAGAAGGAAAGGGGTTAGAAAGCAGAAAGAAGCAAAAAACCTGAGTGTGGCAGGTGGGCTGAGGCTACTGGGCCTTGTCCGAGTCAGGCCATCCAAGATGTTCATCTTGGGAGTAGAAAATGGAATGGCAGCATTGCGTTGAAAGGAAGGAAGTCTTGTGGTGACTGTAGGGGACAGGAGATGGGGCAAGGGAAGGATGTGACTGCCCAGGAAAGCTGGGGACAGAGGGAGCAGATATCCTGGAGTCTGGTGCCAGAACTGGGGTGCCTGAGTGGCTGGCAAGGGAGGCTAGGCTGTCACTGCAAAAACAGAGGACTAGGAAACCATTCTGTCTCTTCTGGGACACTGGCAACCATTGCTTTTGGCTGTTCAGAGGCAAGGGAATACATATATGTATGTGTGTATGTTTATACATGTATATATACACACACACATATATATGTATGTATATATATATACACAAACATATATGGACGAATATATATATACACACACATATATAGAGATGTATATATACACACACACATATATAGAGATGTATATATACACACACACATATATAGAGATATATATCTATATATACACACACACATATATATCTAGACGTCTATATGTGTGTGTGTATATATAAATATATAAAACGTCTTGGAGCCTCTCACAGGAAGCAGGTGCAGCACGTGGATGCTGACGGAATGTGGGCAGCAAGCTTCTGGTTGAAAAGAGGAGGTGGGTGCCACGTGGAGCCCACTGCTTCTCTGTCTGCCAAGTGATGATACCTTCAAAACCTTTTATTCCTCTGGGCATGACTCTCTTTTGTTGCCTTTGGTCTATTCAGTTCTCTTGGTGCAAATGCTGTTGAGTGTGACACCAACAGTTAGAAGGAAGGAATAGCCCATTGCTTTCTAAGGAAGAATCCACGATTTTTTCAAAAGCAACAGGCATTTTTTGTGATCTTTTTTTGAAAAAAAAAAAATAAGAGATTTGTTTATGTGAAAGACACACACAGAGGGAGAGGGAGAGGGAGAGAGAGAGACATCTTCCATTTGCTTGTTCATTCCTCAAATGTCTATAATGCATGTCCTCTCCCACCCCTGCCCCTTGGCTTGAGCCAAGGGCTCCACCTGGGTCTCCCACTGAGGTTGCAGAAGCCCCAGCACTTGGGCCATTGTGCGTTGCTTTCCCAGGTACCTTAGCAGGGAGCTGGATTGGCAGTGAGCAGCAGGACTTGAACTGTCATTCTGATATGGGATGCTGGAGCCCCAGTGTTAGGGCCTGCTGTCATCTTTTTGGCATCATGGAAGTCATAGTTCTGAATTACAATAAGATGTTGCTAATTCCAAGGAGTTTATAATCGGGTAGAAAAGGGAGAAAGTATGCCAAACTTGAAAAGAGGTAGGCTGTATTAACGACCACAATGAAATGCAAAAAGAGTGAGAGGGCCTTTGCAGCACCCAGACTGGTGAGCAGGAGAGGAATGACTCATCGGCCCGTGACAACCTTGAACAACTTACCCAGAAGGTCAGGGGACCTGCATTCTAACATCGCCTTGACATTTAATGCCATTGACTGGGGACAAATTGGGTCAACTTTGACTTTCTCAGAACCCATAAGAGAATTTCGTGCAGCCTTTGTCTCCAGCGTCCTTGTCCCATGGCTCTCCGGGAGATCCCTTGTGCTTCTGGAGTTGTAAATACCACAGTGACAAGGAGCCCAAAGCCTGCTCCAATGTGGAAAAAGTCGTGGGACTTCAGCCCTCACTTCCTCTTCCAGTTGGCTCTGTGGCACTGGACTCATGGTTGAGAGCACACTGGCCCAGCAGGCAGAAAATGCCCTGCATTTTGAAACCTTAATTAAACCAAGGTTATGGAAAGAAACCAAAGAGTAGTGTAGTCTTATTAACTGAGAAGCACGAAATGCCCAAGGTACAGCAGGTACAAAATACGTAAGGGACAGCCAGCACAAACATTCTCTCTCTTTCTCCTTCTCATACATTTTATTGCCCCTTAGCTTTGAGAAAATTCCTTCACATCTCATTAAACCTGCCATGGATGTCTGGGTGGGACAAGGAGGTGGGGTATGGAGTGAGGACTCTGGTGACCTGGGAGGAGGACTTCCTCAGGTTGGGTACCTGTATTGGTAGTGGGTCTCTTCAATGGTGTGACTCCATAATAGATGGGCTATGGTAAAGGCATTCCCAGCAGCACTGATAAGCCTTCTCTCTGACATACGACTTCCTAAGCACTGATGATATGGGTGAAGTGGGCTGGATAGCAAATAGTTTAATCTTTCAGATGCTATCTGAAGAATCTCATGTTTTATGGATAAGTTATGTCATAAACTTGAAGTCTCCTCTTTCTAACTTTTAGAAATACTTTCACTGACATCAGACTTTCATTGAAGTGTTTTGGTTTGGAAGTCACAACATTAAAATCCTAGACAAACAAATGCACCCTGGTTGCCTCATACCATCCACTTTGGGTACACAGAAGAAATGTCCTTCCTAGAACACCAGGTAGGCTTTTCTGAGTATGGAGTGCTGCTGGAGAAACTGATGGTATCTTGACCATGTGTCTCCTTCTCCCACAGGTCCTGTATAACTTGTTCAAGTCCTTCTGCCAGATGAAAACCATTGAGACCATCGATGTGTTTGCCGGAATTGCTAACTTCTTTGTCGTGGGAATCGGTGGGGTGTTGATCGGCATCTTCCTGGGTTTTATAGCGGCATTCACCACTCGCTTCACACACAATATCCGAGTGATTGAGCCACTCTTTGTTTTCCTGTACAGCTATTTGTCCTACATAACAGCTGAGATGTTTCACCTCTCTGGCATCATGGCGTAAGTATTTCTTTGCTACAAACACTTCAGCACTACGTTTTGTTGGATTCATGTATTCTAAGCTATTAAATGGATTAAGTTATATGAAAGAGTAGATTTTTAAATTATGTTAAGAAGAATTAAAGGTGGGCTTTTATTATTTTTTAAATAAGAGGAAATCATATATCAACCATATTTATATTAACATTATCTGATGTTAAGAAGGAAAACTGGCCGGCGCCGCGGCTCACTAGGCTAATCCTCCGCCTTGCAGCGCCAGCACACCGGGTTCTAGTCCCGGTCGGGGTGCTGGATTCTGTCCCGGTTGCCCCTCTTCCAGGCCAGCTCTCTGCTGTGGCCAGGGAGTGCAGTGGAGGATGGCCCAAGTCCTTGGGCCCTGCACCCCATGGGAGACCAGGAGAAGTACCTGGCTCCTGCCTTTGGACAGGCGCGGTGCACCGGCCGCAGTGCACAGGCCGCGGCGGCCATTGGAGGGTGAACCAATGGCAAAGGAAGACCTTTCTTTCTGTCTCTCTCTCTCTCACTGTCCACTCTGCCTGTCAAAAAAAAAAAAAAAAAAGAAAAAAGAAGGAAAACTGCCTAAAAGTTATTTCTTGGCTCTCCTTTGAGGTTAAACAAGACCTGTTGAGGTTGATCTTCGTTAAGAATATTCTGGGTTTGATGCCCATTCAGTGTTGTCCAACAAGGTTGTGTCACCCACATTAATGTTGGAGTTTTGGGTTTGCTGATGTATGTTCATTTGAATAATCTTAGTGGTAGAAATATTTTATATGATGAATTCTACTTGAGAAAACTGCTGAAAGTCACTCAAAGTGAAATACAATGAGTAATAATATGATCAAGTAATTTCAGTTTAGCTTTAAAAATAAAGAGGTCTGATTCTAAAGCCTGAAATGTATAAAGGAAGACATGATTTATTAAGGATTCAGTGTATGATTCACCACCTGACTGGAGGACATTCTCAGAAATGTATGCACGTGGGCTGAACAATGGGAATGTTTAGACCCTATTTTGGTCTTTAGATGGTTACTTTGAAGGAGAATTCTCATTGGATGTGGATGTTTATGCTACTTCCTTGAATAAGCCTGTTATATTATGCTCACACTCTGTATATGGTGAGTGAAAAATACTTAGCAATAGAAAGCCACTACATTTTTGTTGACAAATATTTGTTTGCAGCTCAATACATAAGAACTTGCTGTATCTATTTAGGGTGTTGCTATTATAAGCATAGGCCTAGTTCTCCCTGAAATTCCCTCCCAACCTGATTGAAGGGTTGTTTTGATTGAGGCCTATTTTGTTTTTTACCCCATATCAGCACTTGTGTATCAAGAGTGATTAGGTGTGTAGTTGAGGAAATCAAAGGCCCCTGTGCAAGGAGAGTGGAACCCTTTGTCACGAAAGCCATGAGTTAAAGGTTGGCTGGTTTTTTGTTTCATAGAGCACCTAAATAAAGCAACCTATTAATCCAGTTTGACCCAGTCATGAAATGTTCCCTGTCTTCCTGGTTGCTATTCATATCATCTGTATCCCTTCCAGTTTCCTTACTGTTCTTTGACGAGTGTCATTGAAAATGTGTGATCAGCTAGTTCCAAGGTCTCTACCAAGAGTGTAGGAGTGGGACTTAGCATCTGGTTTTGCAGCAGTGTTGTTCTAGCAACAGTTGTGTGAGAATCTTGAATTGCATTGTGTGTCTGAGGTGTTAAGAACTCCTGATCATGTGCGTAGAGAAAGGTTGTACAACACCCACAAGGTAGCTATCTTCATGAGTCAGTTTGTCTGATGTTGAGATCCAGAACTGGGAGTCTTTGAAGATCCAGAGTAGAGAGGGAGAGTTGAAGAGCTGGATGGGGTTGCAATCCTGGTGCATCAGAAATGTCGGTGAGACCCAGAGTCCATCGGGGTGGGAAGGCCTGTGCTACATCAGGTCACTGGCGACTTGTTAGTATGGGATCACTGGATTACTTGCTCTAAGAATTCTGAAATCAGACACGAATAGTGCCACATATTCTTGAAAAATAGCACAGGTAATTCTCTGCTTCAATTTGCAGGTGGATGAAAAACATCTCTCGTTTTCAACTTCAAAGTGAACATTCATTTTACAGCTTAGTGTAACAAAAATTCCCTTATTACATTTATTGTCATGGACTACAGTGTACCAAAATGATAATGGACCCTTAAGTCAAATGGAGATGTAACCATTTTTATATCTAGAATTGCCATGCACACTCATTGTCCTGTGTTAGCAAAGGAAGAGCCTGGTGGGCACTGGGATGTGTTTGTTCCCAGAAGTGATGCCCTGTTTTCTAAGGGGAGGTAATTAGTAGGCTAGTCAGAGCTGGGCGTGTGTTGTGTTTCTGTATGGTGGAGATCACAGTTGTGCATTTGAAGTGCACTGATGTGTTTCCACATTGTAATCACTGTTTCTACCTTGGGATATCGGTCCAGGGCATGCGGTATAATGATGCCATTAAAATTGCACATCCAGCACACCTCTTTTCTGGGCTTAAATTATGTGCTAATTCCTTTCCTACTTCATGCTAATGATATTTTTGTGTGTGATTTAAAAACAAATTTTTAAGGTTAATGGGAGTAAAGGCATGGGGGGTTCTGAGCATGCTCAGTACTCTCCCTTGTTTGTTTTAGAGAAATAGGCAGCCACAGAGAAAGGAAAACAGGTGAGCTGAGAGAAGGGTTGAGGCACCTCACTGAGGGTTTGGAAAACAGCTGTGAAACGGTCCATCTGAGTTTTGCCCACAGCCTTCCTTTGTTCTTTCTTCTTCCCCAAACTTCTCCCCAACTTCTCCCCTTCCTTCTTCTTGTTGTCTTTCAGATGGTGGAACCACGTATGCCAGCTTTGTCTTAAGCAGGCTCTTGGACAGCCTGTTCTAGAATGAGATCACGTGAAACCAACAGGTAGTTCATAAGGGAGTCTGATCAAAAAGACACATCTTCCTGTGCCAATCTTTTAGGTAGGGAAGTGCTAGGCAGGATTCCAGCATCTTTATTTCTTTGAGGAGGTGTTGGAAGCAGTGCACCTGGGATATGCACAAAGCCTATTGTTGCTGTTGTTTATTTTTGTCATGAAAATAAACATCCACCCCACCCACACACCACAACACAGAATTACCTGTGGTTTTATATGCTTTTCACTCACTACAAGTACATAATACGAGGTAGATTCATGCTGTGTTCTCCTCCTGTCTTTAATTTTTTTTTTTTTGACAGGCAGAGTGGATAGTGAGAGAGAAAGAGAGAGAGAGAGAGAGAGAGAGAGAGGTCCTCCTTTACCGTTGGTTCACCCTCTAATGGCCAGCGCACTGAGCTGATCCGAAGCCAGGAGCCAGGTGCTTCTCCCTCCACTGCACTCCCGGGCCACAGCAGAGAGCTGGACTGGAAGAAGGGCAATCGGGACAGAATCCGGCACCCCGACCGGGACTAGAACCCGGTGTGCTGGCGCCGCAGGCAGAGGATTAGCCTATTGAGCTGCGGCGCAGGCCCTCCTCTATCTTACAAGCTATTTGGGGAGATGACTTCAGAGCCTTCTTAGATATGGTTTGCCTTTTGTGGTGTCCTCTAGTATGTGTTTCCAACCTAATTTAACTTTAAGGATTTATTTATATCCATGCTTTGCTGTGTGTTCAGAAGGGTTTTAGATTAAGTACTAAGAATATAGATGAAATTCCCCGTCCTCTAATATTTTTATTGTCACTTCTTTTAAAACTGTTTATTGGTTAGTTATTGATTAGATAAGCAGAGAAGCAGAGAGAGATACAGGCAAATAGAGAGAACTCCTGTCTCTTCATTCCCCAAATGCCTTCAATGGCTGGGCCTGGGCTCAAGTAAAAGACAGAAATTCAACCCAGATCTCCCATATGGGTGTCAGGGATCCAACTACTTGAGCCATCTCTGCTGCTTCCCAGGATCTGCATTAGCAAGAAGCTGGAGTCAGGAGTGGGTGCAGGAGTCAGACTCAGGCAATCTGCTATGGGACGTGGACTTCTTAACCACTAGGCTAAAGACCCACCTACTTTGTGCTCATTTCTATTCTGTAAGAAATTGTTGCAACTTGGGGAAAATTTGTGTGTGTGTGTCAGAGTGAGTCTCCACAGTGCTAGAACTAAAGGTTAAGAGAAAGTTTTTATGATTTTCTAAACAAGAAATTTCACCTTGGGGTGCCAAAACACTGTGCTTGTAGTAGGTCATTTAGTGGTGATTAAAAATATTGATTTTAGGCCAGCGCTATGGCTCACTAGGCTAATCCTCTACCTGCGGCGCCGGCACCCTGGGTTCTAGTCCCGGTTGGGGCGCCGGATTCTGTCCCGGTTGCTCCTCTTCCATTCCAGCTCTCTGCTGTGGCTCGGGAGTGCAGTGGGGGATGGCCCAAGTCCTTGGGCCCCGCATCCCCATGGGAGAACAGGAGGAAACACCTGGCTCCTGGCTTCGGATCAGCACAGTGCACCGGCCGCAGCGTGCCGGCTGTAGTGGCCACTTGGGGGGTGAACCAACAGAAAAAGGAAGACCTTTCTCTCTGTCTCTCTCTCACTAACTCTGCCTGTCAAAAAAAATTAATAAAAATAAATAAAAATATTGATTTTAAAAATTCTTTTTTTCCCTAGTTCTGTTCAATATGGTGGCCAACAGGCACATGTAGCTACAACATTTTAAATGTGACCAATCTGAATTGAGTTGGACTCCAAGATAAAAATATACAACCAATTTTTAAGATTGAAAGCAAAAAAACCAATTATTATTAACAATTTTTATACTGATTTATGCTGAAAAAACAATACATGGATATATTAGGTTAAGTAAATATAGTGTAAAATTAAATTCACCAGTTTCTTTTTACACTGTTACCTGTGACCACTAGGAAGTTAGAAATTGCACATAGAGTTTCTACGATATTTTCATGAGACAGCATTGCAACAGGGAAGTGTACTGCTCTCCATTCGATTTTGCTCTGGGATACTTGAAGACTGCTCTATGTTTTGTTCCCC